AGTTGTGCTGGTTGTTACGTAATCATCAAGTGTAAATACATCAATCAATTGAGGAGAGGAGGGGGCAAAAATACANTACGTAATCATCAAGTGTAAATACATCAATCAATTGAGGAGAGGAGGGGGCAAAAATAGTTAGGGAGTAGGGGTACTGAGTAATTTGAGTTTGCACCGGTCAGCGGCAGTTTTTTTACTGCTGCTGCTGTTGTAATCTGACGGGAAAAGAACTGGAAGCACTGGATTTGAGAGATGAGATGAGTGAGCGAATGGTGTGCACAAGTGTAAGTATCGGTCGGACAAGAGAGAGAGAGTGTGTGCGGTGTACGAGGAAGAGAAAAGTAAGAAATAAATACTATGCACACAGGCAGACTACACCACAACAAATGTGTCCTGTCTCTCTCTCTCTCTCTCTCTCTCTTTTTCCTTTCCGATCAACTTTGTGTCTTGTCTTGTCTTAGTCTGTTTTTCTCTCCGGTCGTCATTCATCAGCTATCCACTGAGAGAGTGTAGCTGTGTGCTGTGTGGTCGATACTGATGATGCCGATGAGTGAGTGAGTGAGAAGAGTGTGAATGAAGACGGCGGAAAGAAGAGTTAAGCAGGAGATGCGGCATCAAGTATCAGCAGCAGTGCTTTATCATTGCCACCATCTCCAGGACCATCAACAGGAGTACAACCACTGCTTTGGCGGTTGTTGTGGTGGTAGTGGTGGTGGTGGTGGTGGAGATTGTGGAAAGAGCAGCAGTGGCAGCAGCTGAATAAGATGAAAGCGGAGCAATATTGTGGAAGAGAGAAAAGTGATTTCTACTACTATGTTCTCATCATCATCGTCATCCAATTGAGCTGCATCCAAAAGTGTCTCTCGGCTGGATAAAAAGCACTGTGATGAGAGAGGGAGCGAGGAGTGTGTGGCGCGAGGATTTTATCTGTGTGGGGCAAAGAGAGAACAAATTAGTCATAAATGTAAATGGAAAATAACCAACGAGATGATGTTGGCACAAGTGCTGCTGCTGGTGGTGATGGTGCTGATGCTAGCACTGACGACAGTACGGCGGCATGAACACAAACAAAGTCATTGGCCGAGGGTCAAAGGGCACAAGAGGGAAAGAAAGAGAAGTAGTAGTAGTAATACATGGGCACTAGTTGCCGACGTCTGAGAAGAGACGAGGATTGCATTGTTGGCGGGAGAGGATAAAAGAGCTGGAGCATGTCAGTCAGTGAAAGAAGCGATGGCGCCGCCGCAGTTTCGCAATGGCACTTCACTCTGCACGTAGCTGACCTCAGACCTCAGTTTAAATGGTGATCGGAAAAGAACCACGACAACAACGAGCAAACATTTCCAGCAGCAGCCAGCAAACATCAACCTAAATCTAGATCTGTAGTTCGATCATCGCCAGTCCTGGTGGTGGTGGTGGTGATGATGATGGTAATCGTACTGTTCTTTCACTCACTCACTCACTCACTCACTTCGAAGTGCTTCCCTGTTTGGGTGGCCTCGCACCAGCGCAGATAATTACACGCCGCTGATTAGGCTGCTGCCAATTGCAGCCAGGTAAGTGCACAGATCACCGGTGCGTCTCTGTGTCGTCTCGTTCCCCGTCTGCCTGTGTGTTCCTTACTTTCTCTTTTTGTTGTTGCTGGTCTGTGAACGGATGATGATGCTACGTTGGAATGGATGCAATGTCTGCCAGTCTCTCTCTCCCTTTGCTGATATTGTGCTCTTTCTGAGCAAGGCTCACCTGAAAACAACTACTGATGATGCTGATTATGTTTGAGTTAGTTGGCACTGATGAGTGTAGGCCTCGGGCGTTATTGCTATAGTAGTCTTCTGCTTTCTGGTTCAAACTGACTTGAGTAGTATTATTGAGGTGAGTGTGTGCTGCTTATCAGCAACAGTGTCAGTCAGTCTCCCCTTTTCTTTTCTTTTCTTCTTTTTCTTCTTTTGCCTTATGATCGTTGGCAGTCCTGGTGGTGANTGATGATGCTGATTATGTTTGAGTTAGTTGGCACTGATGAGTGTAGGCCTCGGGCGTTATTGCTATAGTAGTCTTCTGCTTTCTGGTTCAAACTGACTTGAGTAGTATTATTGAGGTGAGTGTGTGCTTATCAGCAGCAGTGTCAGTCAGTCTCCCCTTTTCTTTTCCTTTCTTCTTTTTCTTCTTTTGCCTTATGATCGTTGGCAGTCCTGATGGTGGTGGTCGTATCACTACTACTTCTCGTCGACGTCAGCGATGTAGGCAGAGAGGATGCAGGCGCTGGAGTGCAAGAGGCGGTGGCTGAGCTTGGAGAAGGAGAAGCGGCTGAGCCGAGCTCTACTTCGATGGGAAATCTCCCCACCAATATAACATACAACAATATCATAAACAGGCTGCCATCATCATCGCATCACACATCCAGTAACAGTCACAGTCAGTCAGAGTCAGAGGCAGACAGTCAGACGGGCACACACTTGAGGACGGGCACACGCGCTCGTGCACCGCCAACAAAGTGCTGTTATCAACAACAACAACAAAAAGACAGATTGATAAGAGGAGGTGGACTGAAGTTGCAGTGCTTTACGTGGTGATGGTGGTCGTCGTCGTAGTGGCGGCTGTGGCGGCGGTAGTGCAAAGCGATAGCTGCCCGCTGATAATAACTGGATCGAGGTGGCCGGTGCTGGATTGATGCCGCCAAACGAGAGAGAGAGAGAGAAAGAGAAGAGAAAGAAGAGAAGAGGCGACGGACGGCGACGGCGATTGCTGCTGCTGCTGTTGCAGATGCAGATGTTGATGAAGTTGCTACAGTGTTGATGATGGTGGTGATGCTGCCGAAGCGAGGACGTCGTCGAGTGCTGATGTAGACGATGAACAGCAGTGGTTGCAGTTGGCGGAGAGGAAGAAGGTAGCGGTAGTTGGGCTGGTGCTGATGTTGGTACTCTGGTTGATAGCTGAGAAGGAGGGGGATGATGATTTTCGACGCCGTTTTCGCGATCGCAACATCTTGCTGGCCCAATCACAGTGGCCAGTGAAGGGGTTGTGCTGCTGTTTGTGGTGATTGTGGTGGTAGTGATCAATCGGTGCTGATCATCATCATCAACGGCTGCCACACAATTTACACACACGCACACCTTTTTCTGTGCTCGCCACACCTCTTCTTGGTAAAAGTGCCTGCTTTTTTGTTTCAGCAATCGAAGAGTAATGCTAATTTGGTATGGGTAATCGAGTTGCAATCGAGTCGAGTAAAGTCTTGTTTTGATTCAGTCACAACAGTGTTGCCGCACCACTGGCATCGGCTGCAGCTTCAGCAGCACCGCCGAAGACAAAGAAGACACCACAACAACAAACGCTGCTGCTGGCAGAGACTTTTTCTGTCAGTGAGCCGGTGAGGAAGACAACAGAAGAAAAAGAAGAAGAGTTTAGGGACCAGAGAGAGAAGGGATCTGAGCTCCGCTGGTGGTCAAACAGCTGCGGTGCTGGGCTGTGCGTGAATTACACAGGACTGTACAGGAATTAGGGTTCCAGGAGCAGAAACAGCAGCGGCGACGGCAGTGGCGACAGCAGCATCACGTTCACCACAACAAGAAAGTGAGAGAGAGAGAGAGGGAATGAAAGAATAGTGCTACTGAAGACAGTGCATGAGAGAGAGGGAGAGGGAGAGAAAGCAGACCGTCAGTTGAGTTGCACTGAGACTGAGAGTGCTGGTGGTGGTGGTGGTGGTGGTGGTGTTCTGCCTGGCCAGGCTTGCCGCCGTCGCCGTCAGACGCAGCCTCCAGCAGCTGCGCGCTGACGCTTCGATCCTACCGAAGTTGAGCTGAGCAGAAAGAGGATAACTGCCAAAGTACTACTACTACTACTCCGCGTGAATAGCAGCAGTGGAACTCACTCTTGAACTGAGGCTGGCCAGACTGTGAGTAGTCGCTTTTGCTTTACCTTATCGTCGCCAGCCAGCCTGCTTGCCTGCCTGAATGCCTGCTTGTCAGCCAGCCAGCCAGCTACTCTGAATGATGCATCCTCGGTTGCTGCTGCTGCTGCTGGAACCGAGCTTCCTTCAGAGTAGCTTCGTTTGCGTCAGACTTCGGCCGACCGCAGACAGAAAGTGAGAGAGAGAGAGAGAAAGAGAGAGGTGCCATGGCCTCGCACATGACCTCTCACTCACTGATGCCTCCACTCTCCTCTCTCCCCTTTCAAGGATAGGGATCTCGTTAGTGGAGGCTTCTAGAACAGGAGGCCAATCAAGAAGAAGAAAGGTGCCCTACTACTTTTAAAGTGGGAAAAGGGAAAGAGGGGGAAAAGAAAGGGATATTCTCACTGACACTTGGATCACTGGTGCTCAANCTCTCCTCTCTCCCCTTTCAAGGATAGGGATCTCGTTAGTGGAGGCTTCTAGAACAGGAGGCCAATCAAAAAGAAGAAAGGTGCCCTACTACTTTTAAAGTGGGAAAAGGGAAAGAGGGGGGAAAAGAAAGGGATATTCTCACTGACACTTGGATTACTGGTGCTCCCAAGGCAAGCCAAGTCAGGCGAGAAGGGAATCCAGCGACCATTTAGCAGCTCACAGTCTGAATGCTCACAAAACTCAGCATATTGCTATATAGCAGCACAGTGAGTATCCGTCCAAACCACCTGTTGATCTGGCCTATTCTAAGCACTGTAATAAAAAAGTGTAGCTCGACGATGGCGACACACTGTGAGTGACAATGAAAGATTGATGAATGGTGAATGTTGGTAGTGATTCACATCAGGTTTATCAGTAGTAGTAAGAATAAAAGAAGTAATAATAGTAGGTAGGTGGCAGAAGAATGGCTCAACATGGTAACAACAAAAACGACAATAGATCAGACGTGATCAGGCTCAATTTACGTTTGGAAGACTGATTGAGAAGCGTGGGGGTGTGTAAAATAATAATGAATTGCGTTGAAAAAGACTTTTTCTTCAGGTGGTATACTTTGATACTAAAACCTTGTCTCGTTCAGTCCGGGAGAAAGTAGTTCATCATTGCACATCTCTTCCCATCCCATCCCTCTTTACTTGGTAATCTTGGCCATCGCCTTGCCCAGGTACTCCACATTGCCCGAGGTGACGCCGGCCATGCTGATGCGCCCATCCTTCGTCAGGTAGATGCTGTACTCCTTCGTCAGCCGCTCCACCTGCTCCTTGTCCATGCCGGTGAAGCAGAACATGCCAATCTGGTCGGTGATGTGCTGCCAGTTGCGGGTGCTGCCCTCGCCCTCAATCACCGCGCGCAGCTTGGTGCGCATGGAGATGATGCGCTGCGCCATCTCCTTCACGTCCTTCAGCCACTGGGTGCGCAGGGCGGCGTCGTTGAGGATCATGGCGGCGATGCGGGCGCCGTGCACCGGCGGGTTCGAGTACAGCGGGCGGATGATGATCTTCAGCTGGGACATCACCTTGGCCGCCTCCTCCGAGCTGCCGGCCACCACGGAGAAGGCGCCGATGCGCTCGCCGTAGAGGCCCATGTTCTTCGCGTAGGACTGCGCCAGCACCAGCTGGTGGCCATCTTCGATGAAGAGGCGGACGGCGGCGGCGTCGCGGTCAATGTCTCCGGTGGCGAAGCCCTGGTAGGCCATGTCGAAGAAGGGAAAGAGGTTGCGCTGCTTGATCAGGTTCGACAGCTCCTTCCACTGGTCCAGCTGTTGTGTGAAGAAGTAATAAAGTTGTTAAAAAGTTTGTAAATAAAACTGGAAAACTGGTACGCACCTTGGGATCAACACCGGTGGGGTTGTGGGCGCAGGCGTGCAGAAGTATGACCGACTTCTCGGGAATCTTGGCAATGTCCTGCAGGGCGCCGGAAAAGTCAAAGCCGCAGGTCTTTGGGTCGTAGTAGCGGTACTGCTTCACGTTGAAGCCCGCCCGTTTGAAAAGCGGCACGTGGTTGCCCCAGGTGGGCGTCGGCTGGTAGATGTCCTTTGGACCTTGGTGAAAGTCTCGCAGAAAGAAGGCGCCAATGGCGAGCGAGCCGGTGCCGGAGATGCCCTGCACGGTGGCGTTCTACAGTGAATTGGGATGAAAAAATTAGAAACTCAGAAGATAAAAGTAGATTCGCTCATCAGAACTCACCAACTTCTGGCTAATCACTCGGCTCTTCTCACCAAAGGCCAACTTGGCGGAGGCGGCGGTGAATTCGGCCAGACCGGAAATGGGCAGGTACTCGTGGTCGAGGTTCATTTCGCTGATCTTCTCCTCCGCCTTGATCACGCTGGGCAGCACGTGCGGCTTGCCCTGGTCATTGCGGTAGGCGCCTACGCCGAGGTTGACCTTCTTCGGGTTGGTGTCCGCCTTGTACGCCTCGGTGATGCCGAGAATGGCGTCCGGTGGGCCCATCTCCACGTTGCTGAACCATGACGAGCTGTGTGAAGGTGACATCAGTATGACAGAAGAATGTTAGGATTCTATATATACTGAAACTTTGATGCCGGCAAACAGTGTGTCAAAGAAGGACACCAAACTGACCTGAGTCGCTTCGCCAAGATGGCAGTGGGCGAGAAGAGCTGGCAGCGAAGCGGAGCGGTGATCGAGTACATGATGATGATGGTTGAGTGAGTGTGTTGACAGATATTGTCGATCGAGACTTGGACGACGACGACGAGGAGATGAAGAACAAGAAGAAGAAGTGACAGGAGAAGAGGTAGGTGAAGACTTTTTTAAAGGCACCGACGGGAGAGGACAACCAAGTCGAGTGAGAGAGTGAGTGAGTGTCGGCAAGAGCTACTGCTGCTGGAGCTGGAGGAAGACGTCGATGGTAGTGGGTGATAATAGAAGCACCACGAGGTGAGCCAGTGCTCAACAGAGTGACGGCAAAGAAGAGGATGAGCAAATAGGAGGAGGAGGAGGAGAAGATGATGGTAGAAGAGTGTAATAGTCTGGCAAAAGAGAAGCCGAGGATGAAGAGAGCGCGACCAGATCACGCCGCAAGGTTACCGTGCAGTATAAATATACCCAAATCCAAATGGCAAAGATTCACGCACGCAACTTTGTTTTCGGGTGCTGCCAAGGCGGACGCGGCGCCATCTGGTCGACAGCCTAAACAATGGTTCATGGAGTTCGTTTAGTTTTTCTGCACTGAGTTGGGATCATTTTAAAGTGGACTTTTCTCTTATCATCGAGGTAGTAACCGCTGGAAACAATGTTTCTAAAAAACCATCGAATGACAATCCAATTGCCAGTGGCAATCCTCTGGTCACGAGAACCTCATCTCTCTTACTTTCTCTCGTTTGCAGCTCATCTCTGCAACCATAGCAAAATAACAAAAGATGAACCCATTTTTGGGAACAACATATTTTCTACCACTGTTGTTTAGTTCACTCATCATCCTGACGCAACTCATTCGTAAGCAGCAGAAGCAGCTGTAACAAGTTTATCCGATGATGGAAAGAAGCGGTCTGCAGACAACAGTTGGAGATATGAAGCAACTGAAGAAGTGCGAGCAGCATTCCATATCGCTCGGACTGAACCAGCTCCTTATCATCAGTATGGTATAGTAGTTTGTTATATTTGGATAATTGGCAACGGGTGAAGGGGGAAAGGCGGGAGGAGAAGTGGGAGAAAGACATGACAAGAACGCGTGCTACACTGTGTGATATCGCATAACCATACTTTGGAGAAGAAGGTAATCGCGATTGGATAAAGTCAGCCAGTCAAGTGCGATTGGCAAGTGAAGATAGTACAAACAAAGTGAATAGTTAAGGAGAAAGGTACTTTGGGGATGCTTTGCAGGAGAGATACTTGGGAGTTTGTGTCGGTAAGTGTGTAGCACGCGATTGAGTACAGAAGGATTGAGGAGTCAAAAAACGGAGTCAACGGAAGATCACAGCATGCTTAGAGAACAGAAAGAAGTAATTAATGAGGAAGAGAAGGGGAAATCATTTTGTCGTTATAATGTAAGGCACACCACTAACACACAACCACGTGTTACATGGCGTTTTGAAATCATGTTCATTGCTTTGGCACTTTACAAAGTTTGTTTGTTTGAACTGGTTCAGGTTTTTCAACAAAAAAGAGGGTTTTTTTCATGGGTTGCGAGATTTATGTAATTCAGCTATTGCTGGTTGCGTTGCTGGCACTGTTGGTGGCACTGGCATTGGCACCATTGGCATTGCTGTTGCCATTTCGATAGCCAGTCCGATCCATGTCGACGCGCATCTTATTGAAGGCCTTCGTCTTCACAAAGTCCACCTGCTTGTAGACGGTGTTGGTGTTGTCCTTGCCGATCAGGGCGATCATGGCCTCGGTGGTGCTGGCCGAAGAAGCATTTCCTTTCACGTGGTTTGCATTGGGTGTGGAAACATTGTTGTTGTTATTGTTGTGATGCAAAGAAGAGCCACTACTTGTGCTGGTGAATGGATCAAAGTTGCTAGTGCTACTTGGTGGAATGTTCCAAGTGGTCAACGACTGACCAGTGCCGCTGCCGCCATTATAGAAATTGTTGTGAGTTGCAGTGTTGTTGTTGTTTGTGGTGGTGGTGGTGCTGTGTGTAGAGACCAACTGTGATGTATCAGATTGACCTCCATTGCCGCCGGAAAAGGCAGAGGCACCACCTTCTTTAGGACTCTGCGAGTGGGTCGACTCTGCGTTGGGGCACTCTAGATCCAGATCAAGGTACTGAATTTCACTGCTCTCCTGAGTGTCGAGGTGTGACAGGTTACTGAAATGATGACTGTTGTTGTTTGAGCTGAAGGGCGACAGTTTTTTGTTCTGTGGAAAAGAAACCGTTATTTATTGGACTTTATGAGTAACAAAAACAAAAACTCACCTTTTCAAAACCAAACTGATGACTAAAGGAGAGCGTATTGGAGTGATGGCTGTTGTTTGGATGGCCGATATTCTGCTGGTTGTGGGCACTGTGGGTGGTGTTGAAGGACTTTCGTCCGTCCTCGCCTCGATTTGGATAGGAAGAGAACTGTGGCGGCCTGGGCAGCGTGTGACGGGTCGCTTGCGATCCAAAGGGACTACAGATAATAGAAAAAAAGTTAACATTAGACCTTCAAACACCAACAAAATTTTGTTATGAGCAAAGTACCTCGTCGAATCCATACTACTGGTGCGACCAGAAGCGGACCGCCGGTGCGGCTTCAGACTGCGATTGACCACCGGTGGCGGCACCTCTACAAAGGCGGTCCCATTGGGGCCCACAACCACGTTGGCATTGCAGAACTCGTAATTGTGATTGTGCGGTGGCAGACTTAATGAACCCGCCGAACTGCCCTTCCCGCCGTTCAGGCCGTAAAAACTGTTTCCTCCAGCTGCAGTCATGGCTGGCCGTTGATCGTTGACCAGAACTGGCGGCGCCAAAACATTTCCGCCAGCTGTCATGGCCATCGACTTGCTGTACTGCAGTGGACTGGCAGGACTTCGCATTCGTCCACCGGTCGTCGTCCCGTAGCCATTCATCAGCATCAGCGTCGCTAGCTTCTGTAGGTGTGGCGGCAGTTGGCCATTGGTGAAGTTTCCATTGACCGGACTGTTGCTGCTGCTGTTGTTGACCACATTATCAGCTGGATAAAGCGCCAACGAGGACTGTGATTTGCCCGCCAACTGTAGCGCTCGTGGTTTTGGAGGCCTGGGCGGAGGTGGAGAAGTACCGCTGCTTTCTTCTGGTTTGGCGCCGGAGTAGCACTCGGAGATGGGGATGTAGTTTAGCAGGGCGTCATTTATTGGAAGAAGACTGGGACTATTTCCTTTTGTTCCTGCATTAGCTAACACTGATGATGATGATGATGATGATGAAGAAGTGGAGGAGGAAGATGGTGAAGAGGAGGCGGGTGGTGGCGTATTTGAAGAATTACTAGAGCTAGACATAGAGGGGTGAAGGTGTTGTTGGTGAAGTATTTGGGCTGATGGTTGCCTGTTCGGCTGTTGAAGTAGCGGTCCTGGTGGAGGCAGGTGGACTACAGTGCTTTGCTGAGAGGAAGAAGAAGTTGACGAAGTGGAAGGTGAAGATGAAGAGGGAGGCTGCTGCAGCGGCGGCGTGGGCGCCATTACCGTCGGGTTGGCCATCATCATCATCGGATCACCACCCGAAACGCTCGGTTGAGGACTGTAGCGCTCTTCGGTGAGAACGTTGGAGGTGTTGGAGTTGGAGGGGGTGATGGTGTTCACAGTTGAGGTGGTGGTGGCGGTTGAAAGCTCTGAGCTAACACTGCTGTTGTGCAGCAGCGGACTAAGCTCACTGGGGCTGAGGGCGGTGGCTTCAATTTTGAGGCCGCAAACGGAGCAGATGCAGTCCACCCACTTGTTCATCTCCTCCTCGCTGAAGGCGACCAGGTAGTAGACGCGCTTCGCCGTCCGTAGGTCAAACATGTGATCGTAGTTTTCCTCCGTCTTGCGAATCTCGAGAGACAGGCCGGCGTCCACCTGAGAGTAGAGAACGGAGAGGATGAGGATAAAAAGATGTAAAGATGGTAAAGGTGGCGAACAACGAAGCAGTGGTGGGATGAAGAAAAAACGAAGCAAAGTGAGTGCGTGGGTGGCACATGAAAAAGAAAGGTGCGCCGAGGTGGATGATGAAATGGTGTGAAGTGGATTGGGATTGGGATGAAGAAAAAGAAAAGAAATGCAAAATGACGAGTTAATCAACTGTTGCTCTATCTTTCCAACTGCTGCTGCTGCTGCACCTCGCAGCCAGATTTCAATTGCCTCACCTGCTCGCACTGATCAAGAT